GTTTTCTCAAATTTGACAGCAAAAGTTGAAATAGGCTTTAAAGCAATGGCTAGCTTTACCAATTGCTTACCCTGATCTTCTTTTACGGCTCATACACTGATCATTTTTCCTTTTTTGCCACACGGGCGTTGCCAAACAACATGGATTTGGGAATGCTGGGCTATTGTATTCTGATAGTCAGAATACAAGAAGATAATAATAAGTTGCTTGAAGAAGAACACATACTGTCGCTCACTCACTTTCCGATCATCTCCCTGCAGAGAGCGGTGACTGTCAGTCACCAATCCCCATAGGAATATACCCCCTATCCTCTCCGATCCTCCAGCGCTGACTGGCAGAACGGACATGGGGGGGGGCGGGTACAGTTGGCTCTTCCTCTAGATAGGCAGAGCCAGCTGTCACTCATGCAGCTGGGCGGATCTCGACATCGATGTCGGGATCCGCTCTAGCTGCGGCGTCTCAGTATACCGCGAGCTGTAGCTCCCTATATACTGAGCTTAGGGTAACGGGAGGACGCTAGTTTGTGTCCTTCTGTTACCCTAAGGAGAACTATGGGGAAAAGCCTTAACCCCATAGTCCTACTTTAAGGCATCAGCATACCTAGACATTTTGGACAATTTCATGCTCCCAACTTTGTGGGAGGAGTTTGGGGACGGCCCCTTCCTGTTCCAACATGACTGCGCACCAGTGCACAAAGCAAGGTCCATAAAGACATGGATGGGGGAGTTTGGGGTGGAGAAACCTGACTGACCACAACCCCATAGAACACCTTTGGGCTGAATTAGAGGCGGAGACTGCGAGCCCGGCCTCCTCCCCCAACATCAGCACCTGACCTCACAAATGGTCCAACATTCCCATAGACACACTCCTAAACCTTGTGGACGCCTTCCCAGAAGAGTTGAAGCTGTTATAGCGGCAAAGGGCGGAGCCAACCCAATACTGAACCCTACGGACTAAGACTGGGATGCCATTAAAGTTCATGTGTGTGTAAAGGCGTCCCAATACTTTTGGCAATATAGTGTATCTCCGGGTCATCTTCATAGACTTGCCCATAGAAAGTTGTATGCACAACACCTCCTATTTATCTTTTATCATCAGGAAGTTGCCGAGCCAACAGAGGTGAGTCCGATCCCGGGACGATTCCTCTCTGCAGAATTTCCAAAGAACTCTGAGTCACGCCAGCTGCGGTGTGAGAAAGTCAATATAATGGCGGCACTCGATGGAGCCGATCCAGTACCTGGCAGAGACAAAACACGAGTCTTCGTCCATTGATTTTAATATCCGTCATCCATGATTGGACATAAATGTAGTTTATTTTACATCCATATTCGGGGGGGGGAGGGGTAATATGAAACATGGTCAGATCACACACATAATTATTATTATTACAGGAGAACTATGGGTTTCCCCATAGTTCTCCTTAGGTCTCATACGCAGGGCGGTCTCTACACTTTGCACCACCTGAGGGTGAGGGGCGTTGCTCCTGGAGGTGCACGATCTCGGGGAAGAAGGGGGGCAGTTTGGTGTTAAAGGGGAGCACTGGTGGTGCATGTTGCCAGGGAAGCAATGTTACCAGCAGTGGCGTCACAAGGGGGGTGCGGCCCGCACACGGGTGCCACCATTGACGTCTCGGCGGGGTGACACTCGGTGCCCGCTCGGGGTGTCCCCCAGCCTCAGGACGCCCCTGGTTACCAGGGAGGCATGAAAGTGGTGCATGTTACCGAGGGGGGGGGGCCCTGGCTCCAGCTCTGTCCGGCGCACCAGCGAGGTACATGCATCACTAAACACCGCTGGTACGAAGGTCGAGTCGCCTCTGAAATTCTCTGTTTTATGCGTTTACCTGACAGCGTACGGATGTGAACCTCCAGCCAGGAGACTCCTTCTATGTTATCTGCCCGAATCCCCCCGAGGAGGTCGGCGAGCTCCTGAATAAGCTGGGACTGGCTGAGAAGAGGAGGTGTCGGGTCTGCATGGCTGTTAAAACCGGAACAAAGAAAAGAGGTGAGCCACATTGTGGGCGCGGCCTGTCGTGTGGACGGGATTCAAAGCTCAACTCCCGGATCAGCAGATGTAGTTCTCATAGAAGAGTTATGTGTGATTGTTCTGCAATATTGGTGAGCTTTGTGTATTTCTTCCAGATCTGTGCAGTAATCCAGTGTGAGACTTGGAGCTTCCTGTAATAAAGACCGGTCACTGCTGCTTTCTCTCCTTGTGCAGGGTGACTGGTCTTGTCTCCGCCCCCTCCTGTAATAAAGACTGCTCACTGCTGCTCTCTCTCCTTGTGCAGGGTGACTGGTCTTGTCTCCGCCCCCTCCTGTAATAAAGACTGCTCACTGCTGCTCTCTCTCCTTGTGCAGGGTGACTGGTCTTGTCTCCGCCCCCTCCTGTAATAAAGACTGCTCACTGCTGCTCTCTCTCCTTGTGCAGGGTGACTGGTCTTGTCTCCGCCCCCTCCTGTAATAAAGACTGCTCACTGCTGCTCTCTCTCCTTGTGCAGGGTGACTGGTCTTGTCTCCGCCCCCTCCTGTAATAAAGACTGCTCACTGCTGCTCTCTCTCCTTGTGCAGGGTGACTGGTCTTGTCTCCGCCCCCTCCTGTAATAAAGACTGCTCACTGCTGCTCTCTCTCCTTGTGCAGGGTGACTGGTCTTGTCTCCGCCCCCTCCTGTAATAAAGACTGATCACTGCTGCTCTCTCTACTTATGCAGGGTGACTGGTCTTGTCTCCGCCACCTCTAGTGGTCCTCTGCAGGCAGCCTGTAGTGGGTGGAGCCTGCTGTGGTCGGTGATGACCTGTGTTTAGAAATAACTGACACTTCCTGTTCTTCGTCCTCCAGATCGGTGAGGAGTTGGATGGATCCGGATTTTATTTTCTCTTTTCTTTCTCTCAGGAGCCGCGGTGCCAGATTATATTCCACAAAAATGTTCTGTGGAGTTCATGTTGACGTGGAGCCTCGAAATCAGAGCGACCCCCAAAAAGGTGCGCCGCGTTCCCATCGGAGTGTATCTAAACCTGAGAAAATTTCCTATATTGAGTCTTCCCGTCACCTGATGTGCGGCCCCATCTATACTTGGCAAGCGTTTTTGCCCATTTTTACCTAAGCACTTCCTGTCCTAGGGTGACAACACTCGCTCACTGTACTTTATGTAGGAGCAGTGTAGTCACTTTTAGGACAGGAACTGTTTTAGAACTACACCCCTCCCTCTCATTTCTATAAGATGGGAAGGGTGTTCCTCGGTTCCAACACACTTCCTGTCTCAGAGTGGAAATGCTGCTACTCCCTAGATACAGTTGGTCAGTGAGCGTTGTCACCCTAAGACAGGAAACCCCATGTCTTGGAGATGAGGGAGGAGTTCCACAGTTCTAAAACACTTCCTGTTCGAGGGTGACAACACTCACTGTACTGTATCTATGGAGGGGTAGTGCAGTCACCCTAGAACAGGAAGTGTGTTAGATCTATGGAATACTTCCCCCTCTCCTTATCTCTGTAGCATGGGGGAGGTACTCCACTGTTCTAACACACTTCCTGCCCTAGGGTGACAACGCTGCTCTTCCATGGATACAGTGCTGGGTGCATTGTCATCTTAAGACAGGAAGCTCCCCGGTCATAGAGGTTAGGAGAGGGGGAGGTGTTCCACAATTCTAACACACTTCCTGTCTTCGGGTGACAGTGCTGTTGCTCCTCCCTACATATAGTACAGTCAGTGAGCGTTGTCTTCCTGTCTTAGGGTGACAATGCTCACTCAATGTACTGTATCTATGGTGGAGCAGCGTTGTCACTGTAGGACAGGAAGTGTTTTAGAACTATGGAACACCTCCCCCTCTATATCATGGGAGGTGTTCCACAGTCCTAACACACTCCCTGTCCTACAGTGACAATGCTGCTCATCCATCGATACAATATGGTGAATGAGCGTTGTCACTCTATGACAGGAAGTGTTTTAGAACTGTGCAAACACCTCCCTCATCTCCGTGACATGGGGGGTTTCCTGTCTTGGGGTGACAACGCTAACTCACCGTACTGTATCTGGGGAGGAACAGTGCTTGTCACCCTAGGACAAGAAGCGTTTTAGAACTGTGCAACACCTCCCACTCTCTCCTTATCTCTGACATGGGGGGAGGTATTCCACAATTCTCACGCAGGGTGACCAGCACTGTTCCTCCCCATATATAGTGCAGTAAGTGAGCGTTGTCACCCTAACAGGGGAAACCTCCATGTCCTAGAGATGAATGTGCTAGAACTATGGAACCCCTCCTCTCCTCATCTCCATAGCATGGGGGGTGGGGGGTTCTGTACTCTACAGAGGGAAGATGGGCAGAGGGCACAGGATACAGGACAGCATTGTATTTCTGGCGGGATCAGCGGGTATTGTTTGCACTTCTTAAACCTAAATACCAAAACTGACCAAAAGTACCCCAAAAACGGGAATTTACATTTCGGGGTTCACGTACTGTAGACTCGTGTTGTCACGCGTTCCGGATTCTGGCCGTAGACGTGACCGCTATGTGGCTGGGGGCGGCCGTCCAATTACAGTTGGGTTAATCTGGTGACGGTCTCACCGTACCGCCGTGTGAAGTCTCCGGGGACGGTGTGGAGCTCACCGCGCGGTTTTCCGATGTTCTTTTGGCTCCTCCCCCCTGACCACGTTCTGGAAGATTTACCCTCCGATTGTTCTTTACTCCGCAGGCCTTCATCCGAGCTTTGGTGGAGCACACCACTGATGCCGGGGAGCGGCGAAGGCTCCAGGAGCTGTGCAGCAAGCAAGGCGGGTCGGACTATAACCGCTTTGTCCGCGACCTCTCGGCCAGCCTCCTTGACCTCCTCCATGCCTTTCCAAGCTGCAGGCCTCCGATGGCGTTACTGATAGGTACGTGGACGTGAGTGACCTGAAATGAGGAGAGGGCCTCAAAGCCGCCATTCAGAGATGGAGAGGACTGAGATACCCAATGCTTGCCGGGATGATGGTCTGTGTTATACTGGTAATGGTTGCTGAGGTTAGGGGCTGATTTATAAATCTTCCGCCCAGCGAATAGCTTGGTGAAGGCCGTTCGCACAGCGCTGCCGCCACTAGGTGGCGCTGAGGAGCATAGAAAATGCCAGTGCTCCTCATGTTCATCCAGTGTTGGTAGTCCTGTCCGAATGTCACCACCACTAGGTGGCGCTGAGGTGCATAGGAAATTTCAGTGCTCTTCAGCTAGTGGTGGTAGTGCTGTCCAAATGTCGCCACCACCGCTAGATTGCGCTGAGGTGCATAGGACTTTCCAGTGCTCCTCAGCTTCACCTAGTGGTGGTAGTGCAATCCAAATGTCGCCACCACCACTAAATGGGGCATGGGAAATTCCAGTTCTCCTCAGCTTCATCTACTGGTGGAAGTGCCGTGCAAATGTCACCACCAGCTCTAGGTGGCACAGAGGAGCATAGGACTTTTTCTGATGCTCCTCTGCTTCCTCTAGTGGTGGTAGTGTCGTCCGAATGTTGCCACCACCGCTAGATGGCGCTGAGGAGCATAGGACTTTGCTGGGCTCCTTAGCTTCATCTAGTGGTGGTAGTGCGTCCAAATGTCACCACCAGTTCTAGGTGGCGCTGAGGAGCATAAGACTTTCCAATGCTACTCTGCTTCCTCTAGTGGTGGTAGTGTCTTGCGAATGTCAACCAGTGGTGCATGCTGGTATAAGGTACATAGACTGGAGGGATTTGCCATGTGCTCAGACCAGCCGTGACCAGACATGGCATAGGGCTGGGTACTCTTCAGCGTGGCCCCCAGTTTAGGCCTAGGGTTGGGCACAGGCTGGAGTGAGGGGAAGGTTTCCCTGAGGTCTCCAACATGGAGGAGGTCTGTGTTGCTGTTAGAGGAAGAGAACCGGGACCAATGCAGGCTCTAGAAGTATCCTGGAACTAAGTGGACTTGAGGAGCATGGTCGGTGTCTTTCCTGTGTTCAGGATCTGTATCCATCCTTCCTGTCTGCTACATCAGTTGCTGTCCGCTGTCTCCCAAGTGGATCTACACTGATATACCTACAAGGTCTGGTGAGTCAGGAGCTCTTGTCCGTTACCTCTGAAAGCTTGGAACCCCCCGCATACTCCTCTCTCCCCAGAGAAGATGTTCAATAAAACGTTATTCAGCATTATACTACTGGAGTGGACGTCAGTTTGTGGGCACCAGAAGAAGGGCGGCAGAAGAAGGGCGGTTAGTGCTAATGGGTGGGCAGCTGAAGAACATACCCTAGACCAGGGGTGCCCACAAGGTCGATCGCGATCTACCAATCGATCGCATAGTGATCACTGGTAGATCGCAATGTCCCCTCCTCCTGCCCGTGGGGCTTCTCTGGATCCCCGCTGCTCTCCCCATATGTATGCAGCGGGGATCCGAGAAGAAGGGAAGAAGCCGCTGTAGGCGGGGGGGCGGTAGACGCAGCCGCTGTCACAGAACTAAGGCCGAGCGGTGAGTAGAGAGAGAGAGAGAGATGCCACGCCAGGTTCTGACAGCCGGCGCCTCTCTCTCCCCTCACCGATCGGCCTTAGTTCTGTGACATCGGCTCCGCCCCCTCCCCCCCCCCGTGGCTGAAGTGCTTCTTTCACTTCTCGGATCCCTCGCTGCCTCTGCCCGGGCAATCAGCAGCTCCTTCGGGGTTGAGCACTACATACTATTTTCAGGTTGAAGGTTTCAGCTTGCTGACCTAGTGATCACGTTATTTGGAACCGCTCTGATTGGTTCCCAATTGTTAGTGGGGACTGAATCTGTCAGTGACAGCCGGGAAGAGGTTATGGAAGTACATATGAAATACAAGAACCTGTTGGATGTTGATGTCTATGCTCAAATTTTATTTTATTTTATTTTTTCCCCTCTAGAACATCTCCCTAAATTACAGGCCCGGCCGTACTCCGCTGCCAGGTGAGCCATACGCTGTATTTACAGGAAGTAATATCATATAGTCTAAAGGCTGCTGTATTGGCTTTGTATGTTCTGTGTTTTGCCGCCGCCATGTTTGGTGAAAATAAAAACCCAGAAAGACGATTGTAAAAATCTGGGGATGTGTACAGTATATAACACATTCGCAGAGCTGGTCGCCTTGCGAACCTCATTATGTCCACTAGTTGGAGCTGAGGAGCTCTCTTAACAATGCAACCCTTACATTGGTGGTCAGTGGGAAGAATGCTCCTTACATTGGTGGTCAGTGGGAAGAATGCTCCTTACATTGGGGGTCAGTGGGAAGAATGCTCCTTACATTGGGGGTCAGTGGGAAGAATGCTCCTTACATTGGGGGTCAGTGGGAAGAATGCTCCTTACATTGGGGGTCAGTGGGGAGAATGTAACGCTTACAGTGGCGGTCGGAATGCCACCCTTGTAGACATCAAAAAGATAATTGGTGTCATGCTCCTGGCTTTGCCCTGTGTCATTGGTAATGGAACTATGGCGGCACTATCAAATGGGAGGTCCATCAGCCACAGCTCATGGAACTCCTAACAACCTCTGGAGGAACCGTGGTTAGGAAAGCCTACTTCAGATGATACCACTAACTGACGGAGTCCTTCAAGTTGTCAGGTCTGATTCCAGAGATTCCACGTATCAGACTGAGGAGAACATGTTGAATTTGGATCACATGCCTGTACATCATTGTCGTCTTTTCCTCTTCCAGCTCCAACTTATTTTGTCCCGGAAAGCTGCGTTTTGTGTTCAATGTTGTGGAGTTTGCCCCGTGTGAGCAAAGCCCGGCGCCCAGAAGAGGAGTGTGCACTGGCTGGCTCGCCAAACTCGTGAGTGGATCTGTGGGAAAGTCGATATCTACGGTGCAACGTTTCAATGAGGACAAGGCCGCACCTCAGGTAGGTCATGGGGGCAGATCTCTACATATGTGAAGTGATGCAAAACAAAGCTCCACCTCTCATGATCCATCGGACCTGCCGAAAATAGACTGCAAACAATTGTAAACCCTCCCATGGGGCTTCCAAGCCCACCATACAGCTAAAAGTTCGGAAGAATCTTCGGGGCTGGTTGGCTGCCCTTTGACATGGTGTGCATATAATAGAGGGGGGACCTGACATTCTGAGGATAAGTTTAACCATTTCCAGCGGGTTCACGTAAATACACGTCCTCCGCTGAAAGTGGGTATACCAAGAACACAGCTTCTTGGTACCGTTTCAAACAGCCGGCAAATGCCGTTAATGTACAAGTGATCCGGCATCTGTACAGACATCGGATTGCTTGTTTGGTTCAGCATTGTGTGTGTGCGTGTGTCCCACCGCCACCGGTGCCGCCGCCGGCTTCCCGGGCTCCACTGTTCCCCCGTGTGAGCCCCGGGACCGGCGCGAAGGGTCTCCTATGATCGGAGGAGAGAAGCCGCTGATCTCTCCTCTGATCACTGGACCCGGAAGTGATGTGGATTACATCGCTTCCAGTGTCACTTGTAAAAGTTTAAAGTAACAGATGAAAAATTAAATAAAATGCAAAAACATTTTTTTTAAAGTCCCCCGCCCCCCCAACGTGCACACACATACAACGCAAACACACGTTGGATGCGTCTATGTGCAAAACGAAAAATTGTGCCACACATGTTACATATCGCTAGGAACATCGGACTGAGAGCAATAATTGTAGGCCCACCAATCACTGGTAACACTGAACTGATGAGCAGTAGAAGCGTTTAAAGCGTTGCCTATGGGACATTTTGGTTATTGTAGTTTTTTGCGGCTTCACAGACGCACGCAATTCTAAGGCTTGACATGTCTGGTATCTATTTACCAGGCATGACCCCCGTCTTTTATATTTTACCATAACATTTGGGCATTATACTCTGATTCTGTGCACTAAATTTTATTTTAGTGTATTTTATCCTAAAAATACCGGTTTGATAAACATTTGCGATAATACTGTGCGACATAAGATATTGCAACTAGCGTTTTTTTATTATACAGGGCCTCCGCTTTCAGAACATAGATCATTGTTTGGGGGTCTGAAGCGGTTTTCTAGCCAAACATTCTGATTTTATCATGTGTGTGCAAATGTAAGAAATTGCTCCGGGCAGCAAGTGGTTAATGTACAAACTAAACAGCAATTACAGCCTCAGTACCAATTCTTCTTAATGCAGCGTTCCATTCTCAGGTTGGCCACATTATTCATTTTAGATGGACGTTTTGGATTTTGGCACTCACAAATTAGATCTAATATTGGTAACATGATTGGTGTTCATCTTTGAATTGCTTTTGGTGGGAAAAGTTCAAGCATTAAGGCTATGTTAGGTTTAGAGGTTGGGTTGGGTTAAGTGTTGGGTTGGGTTAAGTGTTGGGTTGGGTTAAGTGTTGGGTTGGGTTAAGTGTTGGGTTGGGTTAAGTGTTGGGTTGGGTTAAGTGTTGGGTTGGGTTAAGGGTTGGGTTGGGTTAAGGGTTGGGTTAAGGGTTGGGTTGGGTTAAGGGTTGGGTTGGGTTAAGGGTTGGGGTAGGTTTAGGGCTTGCTTCAGGGTAAGTGTTTATATTAAGGTTTAGGGGATAAACAGGAAGCATGCGCAGACCTGGTAGGCATCCAACGGCCAACTGAAGGCAAGGCTGACAACGCTGCTGTGTTGGGTTGGGTTAAGTGTTGGGTTGGGTTAAGTGTTGGGTTGGGTTAAGTGTTGGGTTGGGTTAAGTGTTGGGTTGGGTTAAGTGTTGGGTTGGGTTAAGTGTTGGGTTGGGTTAAGTGTTGGGTTGGGTTAAGTGTTGGGTTGGGTTAAGTGTTGGGTTGGGTGAAGTGTTGGGTTGGGTTAAGTGTTGGGTTGGGTTAAGTGTTGGGTTGGGTTAAGTGTTGGGTTGGGTTAAGGGTTGGGTTGGGTTAAGGGTTGGGTTAAGGGTTGGGTTGGGTTAAGGGTTGGGTTGGGTTAAGGGTTGGGTTAGGTTTAGGGCTTCCTTCAGGGTAAGTGTTTATATTAAGGTTTAGGGGATAAACAGGAAGCATGCGCAGACCTGGTAGGCATCCAACGGCCAACTGAAGGCAAGGCTGACAACGCTGCTGCTAATTGCGAGGTAGCGGCTCAGTCTGAAACAGGAAGTGATGTTACTGGCAGGATCTCCGGGTGAAACTGTAAAGAGTGAGGTGTGGTGCCAAACATTTTTAGTTTACGTACACCTTAAAGGGTTCTTAACGTGTCAGCAGAACCTTCACATAGAAGTCAACAGCAACCAAACATAACCCCTTTTCTCGAGGTCTAAGGAGAATCACACTCTGTGAGCAATTTAATGTCTTGGGTGAGTCCTTCTGTGCAGTAGTTAAGGATGGGCTGGTGTCACTTTGTTGTTAATAAGGATATCCCAGAATACCCCAAACCGAAAACCTCCATACTAGATATTCAATGGAAACTCCCCTCCTATGGCAGCTGCTGTTTGGAAATCCCTTGGGTAGCAAAGGTGGTTCAGTACTCAGCAAGGCCGCACCTGAGACCGGAAGGGCACCAACTGGTCTCCTTCACCACTTGGCTGGCTCCATGAACACTCCGAGACCACATACCTGCCAACTTTCAGCCCTTTGGAACACATTAACAAAGATCGGCCTGGTCTTCTGAATTTTCTTCTAGGTTCGCTACAACCAACTTGTCCTACACAACTCCATAGGAACACCAATGGGGCAGATGTACTGGACATCTCTGGGGTGACTCTAGCTAGTGATAAGACGAGCTCATCTTTCGATGTACATTGCATTGTTATTCTTCTTCTTTTGTGTGATTTCAGATCTCCATTTTTAGCCGACCGTCCTCCTCCTTCCATTTGCCATCCGATACATCCGTCCCTATTGTGATGGTGGGGCCAGGAACTGGAGTTGCACCATTTATTGGATTTTTACAGCACAGGCAAGTGTACAGAATCCCAAATGTGGATTTTTTTGCTTAAAGCTGAAGTTTAATCTGCTTCTATTTTGCCATCTCTGCCTCCACCTTTCCCCTCCCATCTACATGCTAATAAAATGATTACATTGCTTTTGTTTTTTTTTTACATGGATTGGAAAAGGGCTAGAACCTTTGTCAGTTTTACTGCTTTCTGTGGCCCTGTTTAAGAGATTTCCCCTTACTTCCTGCCTTGGTGACAGTGTGACACTTGGACAGGTAGTGGGGGCTAATAAGGAATTTTGTTTTTATTAGGGATTCACTGATACCGATACTAGTATTGGTGCCGATACCTAGTATTTGGGCGTGTACTCGCCCAAATGCTACCGATGCCTATCCAGAATGACTCGCCCCCCCGGCTTCCTGATTGGCTGGAAAGCCATTTCCATGCTCCCTCGTCGAGCATGAAGCCAGCTTTCTGGCCAATTAGGAAGACGGACAGCGTGTAATGACTCGACGTCCAGCTTCCTGATTGGCCAGAAGGCCGGCTCTATGCTACCTTGTCACCTGGTGATGAGTGATCATGGAGGCGGCTAATTCGAGAAGCCGGGTGCTAAGTCATTACACGTCTCCCGGATTCCTTAATGGGACTTCCGGTATCAGCATTTGGTATCACGAGTACCGGAAAAAATATCTCGGCACGTGTACTTGATACCGAAATACCGGTATCGGTGCATCCCTAGTTTTTATAATGCGTCCGTTCTCGTTCACAGGATCCAACTGTTTCTATGTTGATCCCTTTTTATTCCTCTGATTGTCTTCATGCAGAGAGAAGCTTCGGCAGCAGGACCTGGACGGGCAGTTTGGAGAATCCTGGCTGTTCTTCGGGTGTCGCAGCCACAAGAAAGATTATCTGTTCCGGTAATGTTGAGGCCATTTGTCATGTTTGTCCGATGGTTAATGACGCCTCTAAGCTGCTTGCCACATAGACCGTGTATTAAATAAATGCCAAAGGTCACCATGATGAAAGCTCCAATCGTGTCCACTTATAATGTGCACTGCCTCTGCTCTTCTATTAACTAACAAGACCTCTTAAATATTGCGGCATTACATTAGAATGACTGTCAGACCTGAAATCCTGTGTGTGTGTGTGTGTGTGTGTGTGTCCATTGCACCCCCTGTCCCGGTGACACTCTGCAATCAGGGGGTGTCTGAATGTGAAAAATCTCTTTGCCACAAAATAACTTACAATTGACTTTGTAATGTAATCTTCTTCCACTTGTGTGGGAAAGGCAAAATCCACTGGGAGTGCAAGCACTGGCCACTTTAACCCTTTTGCCGCCACTGACGTATCTCCTACGTCAGCAGCAGAGCAGGCTTGTACACGAACGCAGTCAAAGCTGATCGTCGGCTTTCTAGTGAAGGCGATTGGTGGCTGTAAGGCTGGCTAAGCACTTCCACATGTGTGGCAACATGACACCCCCATACCCTGACTACCCCCCTCCATGTATCCCAGAATTGCAGCCCTTCCTGTTTGCCCGGGACAGCCATGGCAGCAGTATGGGGAACCAGTGAACATGACAGTGGATTCCAAACTAATTTTATATACGCAGAGAAGATCTCATTGGTGGAGTGTTCCGGATAAAGTTTCCCCTCGAGTCCCGTAGCTTTTTCCTGTCTCCTATCTTTCATGAGGTCACCCCTGCACTGTGCTAATGCTTCTTCTTGTTAGATTCTGGATTCTCTGCGTTCCCAGGATCCCACCAGAAGGATTGTGGTGCCCCCTCTGCTGTTCGGAAGTCGGGGGTA